GCGGGATAAAGAAGGTAGAAACTGGTAACAGGAGCTCTGTCCTTATTAGAAATCAGACAATTTACACAGCACAGAGAATATAAAGTCTATCTAGGACAGAGTTTTGAACTTTCTTGTTGTGACACCATGCTCCATCTACTTGAAATACAAATAGTAGACTAGGTGTAACTCAGCACTAATGAAACTTTAAAACTCTTTTATTATTCCTCTGCAAAAACAATAGTTCCACAGAACAAAATATCAATGTATCAGAAACACAAGTAAGAGATTTTTCCAAACTGGAATGATTTCATGTTCTATCTTTCTCTCCATATGCACATACTCTCACACACCACATATACACTTCCTGCAGAATGAAACAATGCTGGATTCTCTTCTCAGCTTTGAACTTGGGACCGATACTCCATGGTAACACTGAAACTGTAGTGGAATTAAATGACCAGTGCACTCTGCCCTGTGCACCTGATTAACCTGGCCTATGGGAAAAAGCTGTCCAAAACCCACTATTGTTTAATTCTCTTTTGCAAATGCTCTTGCAGTCTGTCCACCAGAAAACAAAATGGAGCAATCTCTGGTCACAGGCACTAGACCTACTGAAGAAAATCACTTGCCTGCTGTCATATACCCTGATGTAGACTCATGACATGGCTGAAATGCAGTCCCTCTCTGTACCACAACCAAATACCTGGCTGTCATATAACAGGAATCAGCAAAATTTTATGTGACAAGTGTACTTTCAGTTATGGGATAGGGCATTTAGAGCAGACGCTATGGGGCTTACTCCAGCTGAAAAGTTCATGACTTCTTAGATGACACATTACATTCCACTTACCCACCTATCCTGTGGCTATAAGAAAAGTGAACTTTCAGGATTCTGAGTGAGAGAAAAAAATTAATAACCTTTTCAGCCTCTTAGAAGCAGCTTCTTTCATTAAAAGCTTTCCTCATACTAAAGAGCATGTGTGAGGCTACTTTTCTATTGTTACTGAAAAATTAGATGCCATAGTCACTAGGTTACACCTCACAAGACAGTATCAGATTTGGGCCTGGGATATCATGTTTACTTCCAAGCACTGCTAAATGTTGGATTTCACAGATGTTAGTGAAATTAAATTTCAGTTTAATGGCTACAAAAAAAACTCACTAGAAGGCAGTAAATAAAGCCCAAAAAACCAATTTCATCTTTAAGCATGGAAAATGCTTTTATATTTTTCAAATAATGGGAAAATAATTATAATAATTTAATAACTTAATGAATGAAATCTAGAAGTTATTTTAGTAAAGAATGAGCACCCATCTTGAATGTGTGAAAACAGAGACTTTAGCTTTAATTCTTATTCAATAGCATGCACAGGACAGCTTTCAAAGACTGTTCTGTCCAGCTACTGCAGCCCAGAATATCTTCCTGTATAGGTATGCTACATATGCTATACATATATTTCATATTTATACATACATACAGCAATCATTTTGCCACTATCCAGACATAAGAGCTATACTACTATGTTTAGCTACAGGTCTGTAAATCAGTTTTCACTAATAGGGAGCTGCTGAGAATGCAAGATGTGGGTGGATGGAGGAATAGAGGTAAATACTTATTACCTTTTTTTAATATTCTTTCTTTATAACTGTGCTTGTTCACCCCCACATCATACAAAATTTAAACCATATATTACTTTATCATACTCTGCTTTTGAAGTCTCTGTAGTTAAGGAGTTAATAAATAACTACAATTTGAGACTGAAAAACAGAAACCGTGGATTTTCAGACAGATACCATATAAACAGTAGATCTGCTCTTTTCCCATGCTTCATTTTTGGCAAGGTCTCAGCAGCCATTAACTAATAAACTGAACTCAGGATCAATGTTTTAAATAATTTTACAGCTGTGATTACAAACTGCTTTCATTTAATACAAAGGGTTGCTTTCTAGCAGTTCTCAAGGGAGTGACTGCTGAGATCATGCCAGACTTGAAAAGGAGCAAATTCAAAATCACCACCTGAATAGCATGATTTTAAAACACAGCCTCTTTCAATCTGCAAAGACTATGCATATTTGCTTGCTATCAATGTAGGAATCTCAGTTTTCTGAGAACTTAAGGCACCTGTAGCTAGAGCCATGGTGATTAAGAAACATGAGGCTTACAAGGCCCCTTTTACATGTAAAGCTTTTGTAGGATAGGTAGCATTGCAGGCCCTAGACCTATACTGAGTGTATTATTCCTGGTTTAAAAGGTGAGACAAATAATGAAAGAAAACTCAAACAGAAAGGAGGTGAAATTATAAGAAAGGAAATAAAGTGAAAAATTGTGGGAGCGAGGGACTCAGAAATACTAGAAAAGAGAAGAATCACAGGCACTCTATTTTTAGCATAATAAACTTGTCACTCATTCACCATATTCCAGCACATTATATACTTGTAAAGAAAGAAGCCGTCAAAGAAAGGATCCATTGAAACTTCTCTGAGAATGAGATCTCACCTTTCACACTTGAATCCATCCAACCTTTTCTAACCACTGTAACTGGTGGCTTTGTAATCAAAGCAGAGACTTTTTTTTTTTTTTTTGTGATATGACATATGTGTTTTTACTGTCCCTTGAATTTTCCAGTACAAAGTCAATTCTGACAAACAGGGCACAAGATGAACTCTACAGGAAAAGCTTCTAACATCGCATGAAGTTTCATGAGGCTATATAGGGAACAAGCCTGCATGGCACTGCAGTGTGAAAAGGCTCTCCTTTCTTTATTTCATTAAGGGAAATCTGTGTGGTCTACTGAAGCAGACAGACAGCATTCCTTTAAATTATTTCATTAGTATACAAGACTTTTGCTCTTTGGCATTCATTTTACATTTTTATTCCATATTTTTGCATGTAAAGCTAAAATACTTCAGGTATATTACACCCGGCATTTTATCTCCAGAGTATAACAAATAAATAGGGATTTTAAAAACACAGGCTAGCCTTCAAACCAGCAGTGTCAGGCACACATCTTAAAACCAAACAAAATAGATCCTATGCTACGTATATGTAGCTTCACTTTAAAAAAACAGTAACTTTATTCAACAGATTTTTAACAGCTGAGAATTAATGAAACCAAACTTAGTAATCTCTTCTTTAAAAGACTGCTTCTAATTCAAAAAAGAAAATGCTTAGTTCAATGTTATCACTTGAGAGACTTAGTGCTATTACCTTTCATTTCTCAGTGACAAACTCTATGCCACAAAATTGTTTTAAGGAGAAGCCAAATATCTGCTTAATAACAAAACCCCAGCATTTAGGCTAAACTTATTTGATAATCTGAATGAGTAAAGTAAGTGGTAGCTAACAAAAATGAAATCTAAAAATTAACTTCTTGTTTTTGCAATCATGTGTGTTGTGCTAAGTAATTGAAAACACAACTTGATATTGACTTCAAATTAAAAAGTGGAAAAAGTTGAGACAAACAGAAATCCTTCTTTTGCTTTTAGGTTGTTATTTATAATTTATCATTTCTGCACTCACATACACAAAACCCAAAACAAAAGTGAAACTGATATTCATGGCATTTCTAGATTTTGAACAAAAAAATTTCTTTTAGCAGACTATTCTGGTGGGATCATTACTGCAGAAAAGGTAACACTCAAGGTGAAGAATAACAAAGGCCGAAGATCAAAACCAGCTATCAAGCTGAGCAGGTACCAGATTGGGACACTAATTTTCAAAACTCACGTAACAACACTACTTCTGCAAGGTACATGCATACTTTTATAAACTGGTAATGAACACAAACTAATCTAGCATCTTTTCATGTAAACAGCTGCTTTTGACTGTCAAATATTCAAAATTACAAAAGTTTCTCGAGTGAATTACACCTTTGTGCTTTATTGACAAGCACAAGTAGAAAACCTCAAGAAGAAAGAAAAAACCATTTATGATGCTGATATAGCAGAACAGATGATAAATATAGTTAAAAGAACAATATTCTTAGTACAGTCATTTCACTACAGGCAAAAATAAAGGAAATTCATAAATGAATGGTAAAAATAAATGGATAAACGGTAAAAATAAAGGATATTCAGAAATAAAATAGAAAGAAGACTTTGAAATTAATCTGTTATTTTTACTACCAATTATATCATGGCAAACCACATAATATTCTGCAAAGAGAATTTCTGATTTTAGTCCTTTTTAATCTCAAAATAACAATTAAATGCTACCACTAACAGACAAGATTGTAATCTCAGTTTCAGCAGACAACATCTTGAAGTACTTCATGATTATTTGGAAATAAACATCAATGCAAAGGAAAAGATAATTTGCTCAGTGTATTTCAGAAGGATTACTAAAAGTCTCTGCTGGATAGTCACTTTTTTTTGGATGATCTCCTACTTTACTACTTGCAGATAGCACTATATGAATAAATAGCCTAGAAAAATCTCAGAAAGCCGTATCATCTTGATTTGGAGTAAGTTTAACTTTATCACTCTTAAGTGGACAGAAATTATTCCTAAATTTAATAATTTCTTGAACTCCAGAAACAGAAGTGTCAACAAGTACATTTTCTATAGGAGAGCGATTTTGAAAACACTGAATTTAAACTGTTTATGCACAAAACTTGACTTCCATATATGACAGACTTTAAGCAGTGTGAACAGACTGAGAGAAATCAGAGATTAATAACAATATATAAAGTCTGAAAAAATTATGGACTAAAATATTAAATATCAAGGCAAACAGTAGATATATTGAAAGCACATCTCCTTTATCTCATTTTAGAAAGTGTGTTACATGAAACTATCAGGCCTCGAACCTACATGAAAATGAGAATAAAATTAAATATATATTTTAAAATTGCAAGTTTTATTATTTTTAATTTAAAAATCTGCAATTTTCTGGGAGAATAGTTCTTTAAAACAGGAAAGCCACAGTATTTGCAGAATTGATGCTGTTCAATTGTGGGTGCACATTATTGAGGGAGGTTGCAAAGGCAGAACGGCTAGTTCCAACTAAGTTATCATACCTGTTACTGTTTTTGTTTTGACAGGACTGCTGGCATACTCAGAGGCTTGATTTGATTGCTGCCTTGCTAAAGGTGCACTTCCAACTGATGCTTCATCATCTTTTTTTCGAATTACGGACACACCAAGTGGAACAGTTCCTACAGACTGCTAGAAAAAGAAGTGCCTTGTGAACCACTCAAAACCAAGCACATTAATATTGAATTATGACATTGTCATTAGAAGCATGTCTTAAACTACATGTTTTGAAATGTATAGAAGAAAACTTGAAACAATGATTGGAGCACAGAATTTTGAAAACAAATCACGAAACGCTACATTCAGACTTGCACTTGTAATTTTTCAATTTATTGCTGTTATTCTGAATGAAAGGTCTATGACAACAGAAAAAGTGAAACAGAATTCATTAGCTTAAAGTATCATGCTTGTTAGCCAATCAAAATACACGTGAATAAACCAGGATGACCACCAAAGTAAAATAATTGTCTAAATGTTTAATGGAAACCAGAAAATTTTAGCCAGATACGAAGATCCCGAAGTTTTACAAAGAAATTTATCAATCTTCATTAAACTTAAAAAGAAAATATATACTGTTACTTATATATTATTATATTTGTTCCTCACATTTTAAATATAATTCTGACCACTACTGATTTTGAGTTGCTTTGTCTTTCAAGCATACCAATAAATGACAAACTTCTCAAAACACAGCACTGTTAAACAAAACTGAAGGCATTAAAATCTAGTTTGAAGAACTGCATTCTTACTTTAAAGATCAGAAAAGAGTGATGTGTATTAATCTGCACAGGAGGTCCACAAATGAACACAGTCTATTGGCTTTGTTGTTACTTTTTTTACTAACATGAGCTAGAAAATACAAAATCATCAAAAAAATTAGATCCTCAATTTTGCTCTACATTTGACTGTTAACATTTCCCTGTAGCATTAGCTGCTATGTAAATTGTAGATGTATCCCAGTTGACAAAAGCAGAACATTTCTACCATTGATTTTGCAGAAGGTTATCATTTAAAGATGACAACAGTTTTTTGTAAAGATCAGACATTAGGATTACATGCATCTTAATCAATTTTTGTGTCATTTAATTTTGTTGGTATTGGAACAAAAATGTAATCCATATAGCTGGGTAATGAGAAACCTCACACGTTGCATTAGGAATCTCTGTGGGAAACAAATTCGTGTGAGGCGGGCAATGTGCTTGTAAATTTTCTCCAATAGAAAACAGATCACTGAATCAAGCAGTGTGCAACACGTGCACACATACAAAACCCCAAAACAAACAGAAAAATAATTTAATTGAAGGAGAATGACTTCCAAACGCCTTCACCATTTTCCACTATAAAACTAAATTAAAATAAGAAAGATAATCAACTACTTAATCCTACTCCAGTGAAAACAATCAACGTCTATATACAGTGGTATGCAGAGTTAATAGGAAAATACTTATGTCAATGACAAACAGAACTCTCATCTTCCCTCCTCCCTCTGAACATACAGTCATCAGCTTGCCTCCAAAAGCACTAAAAAGTCATTCTGGAATACAGTAACATGCCACTTAGGTGTCCTCTAGCCATAACAATAACAAAAAAAACCCCCAACCCATCAGCTTTGAAAAGAGAAGTTTTACACCACAGAAATACTTCCTGCATGCATACAGAGAGAGAGTCTGAAGTTTCCTAAACTTCCGTCAGACACATTGCATCACTTATTTTCAAAACACAGCAGTTTATGTGATACAACCTTTCATAAGGCAAAGCCAGCTGCAGCTTTCCCATGACAGCAACTGTTGAGCCATGATTTGGCAATTCTGGACGTAACACTGCAAAAACATTGACTTGCCAAAGTGAAGGAAGAGTTTCTGAAGAATGAACACAGACAATACAAGACAACACAAAAGACAATGGGATGGAAATACTGTCTGAAGAAGTAGTATCTATTTATGAACCACTGAAGAAATGGATCAGCAGCATATAATAATAAGTTACACCACTAGTCATATAGTGAAAAACATCAAGGCTATCACAGCCAGACAAAGCTGGAAAAAATTATGACCAAATATTGAGTGCTTGAGTGCTGATCTGGACAATGAAACAGCTGTTTCATCTTTGCTCACTGAAATCAAGCCTGATGTTGCTGTTGATGACGCCCAGTACAATCTTGTCAGGTTTTTGGCAAAAGATTTCTGGTTAAAAGAATGCAGAAGATGAAAGATCAGTGTTGAACTAGATGGAAAAGGATCATCAAGATTTGGGTTTTAGCCACAAACTGATGAGGAAATTGTGGCTTGGGAAATAGCAGATGACAAAAGCCCCACAGCTGTACAAGAAGATGAATCTGATGGGAAAGGAGACATTGCAGGCAAGTGTTATCATAAGCACTGCATCACAAGAATCCAAAAAAACTAGCAATAAAGTAATATGTAGTAAAATTTAACATATCTACTTTAGCATGTAAGCTTTATGGTTACTAATTGGTACTGTTATGAAGATAAATAAAGAACATTTAACAAAGTTATGGAACTATGGCAACATTTATGAGGTTGTTTTGTTACACAAAGTCAAAACCAGATTCTCTTCTAAAATCTTGACCACAGCTTTATCAGTGTATCAATGTTTTGTGGTTATCATACACTAAATACTAGATTAATAATAATTCATAATACTTAAAATAAGGAAGTTTACTACTTTTCAAGCATAATTATTACAATTAACCTTTTAAGCGCTGGCTAAATACTACAGGAAACCTAATCTTTTCTGAATTTAAATTTTATTGACACAAACATACCATGTTAAGTATGTGTACACAAATCACACACATACATATATGCTATTTATACATTTAAATGGATCAACAGATACAGACGATATTTTTTATTTTACTTTGTACTGTGTGGTCAGCATGACTTTGGAAATGATAAAGATCTAAAACCAGAGAAAGGCACAGAACAGCAACAGCTAAAAACCAACCTGCCAAAAATACCAAGCCCCAAGTATTTCCTGATTTATGTGGAGATATACCAATTAACTGAAGCTAAAATATTCTGTAAAGAGGGCTAGTGGAAATTTGCCCCAGGCAGAATAAATTGACATATAATTAAATAAAATATTTTCATTCTGAATTATAACTTCCCACAAGTGCGAGGCTGAAGAGGATGCAGGCAGATCTGGGACCAAGAGAAATTCCTTCTAAAGAAAACTTGACCAACTGAGCGGATGAGTAACTTTCATTTGAGGGATGTCTATACAGTCACCTCCCTGATAACAAACCAAAGGCAAAAGAATATTCCATGACAGGAACTTAAATTTTATTACTAAAGGAAAAAATGAAGCACTGGCATGTGAAATGTTGAATTCGGAAGCCTTAGCCCAGAGATGGATTGCCATCTTTGAAATTATATCAAACCCAGCTATCCCGTATGGTGGATGATGCGTGCATACAGACTGACGTGTACATGTGCAGTAGCTTACAAATAGCAAGCAGGAAGCAAAATTAATGAAGTCTTTGGAATGGGGACAGATGACAGTTATACTCAAGACACAGTGTTTTGTGAATATCTAAGATCACTGTCATGCAATCACTATCTGCCTCAGAGAAGACTATTTACCTATGCTGCAAGAACTGAGAGAGCTGTGACAGAATGAGCTCCACAGCAAGGAGGATCTACCTTGCCCAGCTTGCAACAAGTTCTAGTATCATGAAATCACAATCACTGCTTGACTACACAGTACACTTCATTGTTTTGATTTCTGAGATTCATAATACAAGCACGTACCTAAATTGCTTCAGAGACCTCAAACAAAACTAGGCATTAGGCCTAGTTCCCAATTAAAATTAAATTAATTAAAATTAAATTAATTCCTAATGAAAAAGATTAGGTATGCCTAACCCCTGGGGTTCACAAAAGGACCTTCTTTCCTGGCAGATGAACTTGCTAATTCAAATTAAATTCTGTGACTGCTTCAGGTAGGTATTTCAGGTATGCTCAGAAAAGTGCTCTGATGACATAAAAGAACAACTACTGATTAGCTGTAATCGTTCCAAACTTATGTGATGAACTGATGTCAGCCAAGGACCTTCAAATTTTCACCAACTGATGAAAGCATTCTATCAGCAGTTTCAAGGGGCTTCTGAAAGTAGAAGACACAAGGTTCAAGACCCTTGTAGCTTTAGTTCCTTAAGTAAGCGGTAACTTCATTCCCACATCCTTCATAAACTTAACTGTGTTTCTTGGGCTAAGAGGTGACAGATCCTGATAGGGATAAACATAGTGCTTCTAGCTTGCAAGCAAAATCGGAAATCAAAACCTATTATAATCTGAGAAATCTTTGCACACCAAGATGATAATTATGCCTACTGTAGAAACACACTTGTTTTATCAAAGCCTTTCCTGCTATTTATCAAGGTAGAAGAGAAAAAATAGAACTGAAGGAGGGCAACACAGCTCCACCCTCAACAGCCAACTTTGCTACAACATGGAAAAATCTTAAGTTTGGGTACTGAAACTTACCCTTACATGGTGTCATTCATTCATTGCCATTTATTATCAGAAGCATTTGCTCTTAAAGACATAAAGATCCGCAATATTCCTAAAGTCATCCTAAGACAGATCAAATTAGAGGAAGTATTTGCTCTACATGAGTCTACCGACCAAGTCATGATGATAAAATTATTTAATCTTAGGCAAAAATTCCAGAGAACCCACTGCTGTAGATCTCTGAACTGCCCAAAGCATACCATCAAGAGTCGATAATGTCCTCAGCTCACAATGAACTTCCATAAAGCAGTGAAAGGATTTTATAACACAGTAAAATTCCTAAGTTAGTGGTAGAGAAAAAAGAAAATGAGCAGAGAAAAAAGCACTATGAATCTGCTTTAAGTCAAAATGACAGAAATATGCAGCCATACACATTTATATTATACATCGACGTATATGTGTAGATACATATTTTTGATAGTTTAGGCTTCACTAAAATTTATCCCACAGAAATGAGTAATTTAAGAAAAGTATTGACAAGCCATGAAGGCTTTACAGTAATGTGCATTTGAAGAAAAAAAGATTACAAGCACTCATTTATATATTCATGGGAAAGAGCATCACATACCTGACTGTCTCATATCAAAGTAGAGCTAA